CTCCTAAAATCTGCGAGAAGATGCTCTTTGTGATAGTTCGTTGGCATTCTGTGTATGTAATGTTGATCTTCTTCCTTGCTAAAATTTTCAAAACTGATTTTCACACAGTGGATGCTTTTTTTCATTCCCATGAACTCTTTCACCCCTCTCTACCTTTTCCATCTTGAATACGAATACTATTTTTATAATGTGTATGAACCACTTCAATATTATGCTTATTAAAGAGGTATGATGTATTTGCGACTGATTTAATCTGAATCTGTTATTGAGGTAACATTTTTTCGACAGGGTAAAAGCAACCCGGAGGTCTCATCCAGAAGGGGCCCGGATGTGGTAAGGCATCCTATTATGTTTATATTAGTTCTTACCTCACCATTCCTCTGTATCTTGGAACGTCATATTCAAGGCAGATTCATCACTCTCTGATAGGAACTCAGACATTTGATCAAAAAAGAAGCCAAATTATATTCAATAGGACAACCTTTACATGGTATAAGCTTTGTACTGTGGAGCTTAAACAACTGCGGAGATCATAAAGTGAAACTCTTTTGGCTCGGCTGTCTCTAGCACTTCGGTCTTATCTTTTAATCTCACCGTTAGCTCAGCAAACATCTCGTATAAAGGTTTAACACATTGACGACATTGAGACGCGGTAACGCGTCTCACTTTGCGCACCTCGTTGGACATTGAGACGCGTTACCGCGTCTCACCCTTATCATCCCTTTTTCTAGGGCATGCGCAGCTTTTTCCCGAATTGTTTGTCTCTCTTCTATGGATTAGAACATAACATTATTGTGAACGACATAGGTCATTGTTTGTTCAAATATGCTCCAGTTTAGAAGAAGTTTTCCAAGCTCACCGAAACCGGCGGCTTGGTTCATTAATAGTTTTCATGCTATTCTCATGAACACGTCAATAAAAAAGGGTAGTGAAAGTAAATGCAAATCTAAAGAGACAGAAAAATACATGTTTCACTTGGTATAACCACATCAAAAGAGCTTTTGGCATCCACTACAGATAAAATGACTAAAGTTTCCTTTTTCATTACCATTACATGTTCTTTAATCGGAACTTCGTCACTATATACTCTATTACCTTCTACGCATTGACTGTTACTGAGATGTTTTTGTACCACTGGTGCTTTAAAAAGTTATCAATAAAAATTCACGGATCCGAGGTGCGGCGGTCGCACTCGCAAAATCGGCCCGGTCCCACACGGCCAAAAAAGCCAAAACGCGCGCGGTCGTCAATGTGTTAAGGAGAGATTACGATAAGCGTGTGCGGCGTGGAAGTACATGCACCAGTGGAAAGCTGTAGTCATGGGCCCAAGGAAACGAATATTGTGGCGCTTTATGCGCTAACAGTGCGCTCCCTGCAGCGTACTCTGGCCTTGCATTCCTTTCTGAGCTCCGCCACGGCCTGTGCCCCGCCCCCAGCCGCAGCGTCCTTCATTATCGTTTTGATGAGGAATTCCGCTGTGAGTGCGTATCTATAACTTTCCCATGGAACTTGTTACCAATCAAAGCATGGCCTTTGCTAGTATGATGGTGGCTATCGGTTTAACATGTGCAAAAGACCTCTAGTTGGTTGCTAGCTCGTCCATTATCGGAGGTCAACGGGCAAAGAAAGGGGTCCCATTTTGCGCCTTCTTGACGGATTTCTTTGCTTTTTTCGCCACTGGGGCATTATTCAGCATCTCCACTTCCACTATGAACCCAGTCCAAACTTATCGTAATCCCTCGCTTTAAGAATCCATACAAGAATCGCCGCAGCACCTGCCTGCGACGACACAACCATGGCTCCGTACTGGGTGAGAATAGTGGCGCGGAGAGCGAGACTAAATAAGCGAGAATCCTCTCTCGATTCTCACCTGAACGTCTGTTCACTGGGCAACGACCGGTGCGATGCTCGACAAACTCGACCATCACTGGACAAAACTCATAACTACAGAAAACGATGAGAGCGTTTTATGGGACTGCTACGCTGCTCCTTGACCATATTCTTCTTCCTCCAATCGTCTGTAAGTACCCTTATAAAGTAAGTAAGTATCCTTACGTATCTTTTGCAAGGCTCAGCTCTCTTGTCGAGTGATTTCCATCCATGAGAGTGCCATATCTGTAGTTGTTCTCTAAGGCTCTATCCTACAGTCCGAAGGGAATTATCCACCTGCAGTTAACCCTTATTCCCCCCCCCCTTAGCTGGTTGCTGACTCTTAGATATCAGAAGTCAACGAGCACAGAAAGCGGTCTTATTTAGGTGTGTTTTTCGACGATTTTTCTGCTTTTTTTTTACCATTGACGCAATACTTAGCACCCCCACTCCGCTGCAAATCCAGCCCAATCTCATCGTGATTCCTGGCTCTAAGCTTTCACTTATTAGGTTCTACCCCTTTCCAGAAATGATGGTAACCCTGACCCTGTAACAAACTAGCTCCCACCCTGCCTCTTCCTTCATAGGCCATCCATCAGTGAGCTTCCTGATGGTGAGTTTAAAATGAGAACCCAAGACTAGACACCTTCAACGGGCTAACTTATAGGCTTCTCCGCCTTCGTCACAGCCTCAATGAGTATGGCAAGCTTCATTCACAGAATATCAAAAATCATAACAGCATCCAAAATAATATAATAATTTCAGTAGAATCGAAGAGCACCTACAGCGCTAACAAAAGCGCATCTGCTCCTAATCATTCTACAAATGTACAGGCAGTTTACAGTTTAGAAAGAGTGACGAACGGTTGACCAGCATATTCACAGACTTCGGCCATCACTTGGGTAGGGGTCATGGTAGCAAGGCGAGAGGTCGGCAAAGCGGTGCAATGTCGAATGGCGGCATCTTCTGAAGCACACCCATCGCCGTCACGATGCACATCAACGCCGTCACGCCATACGTATGTGCCTCCTCGAACTGAAACATATTAATTGGGCACATATATAGTCAGATTTCACCAAGCTCAATGTTGCTTCCGGAATCCGCTTTG